TCAGCGAGCAGCTTGTGTGTAACCGGCAAGCCTCCACTTGTTGCTCTGATCAGCAGGCTCGTGCTGCCCTCAGCAGGGTTAGGAAACAGCAGCCTGCTGACCCTCAGTCCATGCTGCATGAGCAGGTGGCCCATGGTAGAAGGTCCAGGAAAGAGCAGAGCCTCCCTGTACAGGTCCACAGCATCATTGCAGTCGCCAAGCACAATCATCTGGGCAGGGCAGCACCATATGATGAGATTCAGCACAGCAGTCTTCAGCCTCGTGATGTTGTTAAGTGACAACATGGAGGCCTAGGTGTAATGGAGGAGACTAGGGTTAATTGGCATCCACATGTTGCATGTACACCAAAAGAGGGTGCAATATGCAGGTAGGTCATTTGTCATGATTAGCATGCGCAGGGGTATGCTAATTGTAAAGGAACACACAGCTTACTTAAGAGTACACTCTGAAGTCAGATGGGGTGAATGGATTAGGGTGCCCCTCAAGCAGGGGAGAGCAGGGAATTGCCTCGGGAAGGAGGCCACTGGTGAAGCTATGCCACCCTGTAACAACAACGAGAGCCTAAGGAAGCGCCTTTTGTACTCAGGCAGCCCTGTATGAGGGAGCATGGAAGTGTAATGGAGGGGACTAGGGTTAATTGGCATGCGCATGTTGCATATACATGGATGTGGTGGAGCAACCGGGCAGCTAATCCTGGACCACCACCGTGCACTCCCTCCGTTTCCAAAGCACCCACCAAATGTCCCATAACACTAATGCAGCCATTGACATCATGTAGCTGTCGATGAGGGGCGGGCAAGCAGCAGCAGCTGCAGCTTCTAGTGTGGTTGGTTCCATGGCTGGCTGGTCCTCTTTGTCTGCCTTCTTTCCTTGTTTGGGACCTACTGCTTTTCCTCCATTTTTCCTAATGCTGTCTTCTGTCATGGTGTTTTCAATTCCTTTCTTTGCCAGTTTTCGTCCTCCTGTCCTCCTTCCCAACCTCGCGCCAGCTGAATGCTTCCCCCACTCCCTGACACTTCCTGCCGGCATTCATGCAATCTCCTCTCCTCTCCAGAATCCCCCACACAGCCCCATCAACCAACTAATTATGGCCAACTACCCTTTGTGCTGCAGGCTCAGTCGTGATTTCCACCTGCACCGACAGGGCACGACAGAGCTGAATGCCTTCTGGGGCTACTCGAAGCCTACTGCAAAGCGACGGGTATGGCCGCGAATGCCGCCAAGTGCGAGGTCCTCATTTTTGGGGGTGCTACGCGTGAGCGGAAGCGGCTTGTTGAAGCTGAGTACCGGTTAGGTGGGGCGGGGTTGCGGGTGCTGACCGGCAACGAGACGGCACGGTATCTCGGGTTGCACTATGGCCCAGGAGTGCAGTTCTCAGCATGTACCAAGCAACTACTCACAGCAGGGAGGTGGGCCACATTTGGGCTCAGCACCCTGTGTCGTGATAAGAAAATTACCACCCCCAAGCTATGTATGTCTCTCTACAATACACTAGTTGTACCGGTGTTTTCTTATGGAGTGCAAGTTTGGGGACCTGACTTCATTAATGTGAATTTTGAAGGTGCTATGGCTAATCCCATGGTCCAGGAACAACGTGCTTACATGCGAACTGTAGTTGGGGCGAGGAGCCCGACTATGGTTTCCCTATATCGCGAGCTGTCACAGAGGCCACTCCAGTTCCATTGGACCAATCTTGTACTTAGGTTTTGGAACTCTGTGGTTAAGAGGCCGGGAACGTTGTGTCACTGGGCATTTGTCGCTGACCTGGAGTTGGCACTTGGGGGCGCCACTGAGTGTTGGGCAAGCAAGGTACTAGCCTTTCTTACTAGCTTAGGAGTGGAGCCCCCCACTAATACGCGCGGTAATGATCTTATATAGTACTACACCACCCTTAAATTGCCAGTCGAGAGCATTCTTAAGTTTTTTGCCAAGCGGCTTGATGCTCGGTGGGAGTGCCCGAATACCTTGGGTGACCCCCGCGTCTTCCCCATAGGAATTACCGGAGCCAAGGCGTGTCGCTATATGAACTGGATGGGAGCTGCCCCGTCAAGGGGTGCGCGTCTTGATTGGCTGGAGCACACTAAAGGGACCATGCCCCAGCGACTTCATCATGTGCTCATGCGTTTTCGGTTAGGCTGTTGGGAGTTAGAGGTTAATAGACCTAATGGGCGTGAGCGCACCGCGCGTACCTGCAGGCTTTGTGACTGTGGAGCGGTTGAAGATGAGTTGCATGTTTTCGAAGAATGTCCCGCTTACAAGAGCATACGGGCTAAGTATGATGGTGACCTAGTCCTTATGGGGCGCAGCATGCGCACCACTATGACTGAGGCGCCACCCCTGGCATTGGCCAGGTACCTCTCGGAAATCTGGGAGGCCAGGCACGTCACGCTGAGGCGCTTCGCCCTGAAGCGGACGAGGGAGAATGAAGATGACCTCCCGCGTACCCGCATCAATACCAATACAACGTCCATGGCCCCCCCGGCTTTTATGGACACACCCGCACTTGTGTGCGGAACTTGTAACTTGTAACTTGCACCGCTACTCCTTACCATAAGCTGCATCATAATTGACCCATGGTGGCTACAACGGCCCCGGATTACTTTGTGGTTGAGTGGGAGGCGCAATCCCTCGTAGCATCATGCCCCCTCCGTTGTTCGTGATGATCGTGTCATGACATCCTAGGCGGCAGCTGGAGCCATGTTGCTGTTTCTGTGCCTGTGGCACTGCCTGTGTTTCGGCCGGTACAAATGCGACAGCAGGTAAGCGAGTCTGGGAAGCTGAGGTCTGAGATTTGAGGATGATGGACACGAGTGTGCACTTTGCCAAGAATGCTGCTGCCACCAAGGAAGCTGCCGTACCGGTGGCAGCGACAGCGGTGCCACCTGTGGTGAGGAAGGATACTGCCAAGATTAGCAACGTGGCGGCCAGGACTGGTATGGTCAACGTGGAGTCAGTAGAGGTGGTTGTGTGCCTGAGTCCGCTGGCAGCGAGGTGTGTTCCATCTGCCTGTGTGAGTTTGAGGACGGTGACCGCATCAAATATTTGCCAGCACATGGCTTGCATCGACAGTTGTTGGAATGTGATATCGGGTACCTGTCCACACTGCAAGGATAATGTGTGTGTGTGTTAATGTATTGTATGGTCTCCGGAATTTGTACAGCCCGCTGCCACCAAGGGGAGGGAGCTACAGCAAGGCCGCGGCGGTGAGGATGACGCCCCCGCTGCCACTTGAGCGGTGATGGAGGTTGGCGGCAGAAGCCAGGGCTGCATGGTGCACGGTGCTGCCAGGACTGGCAGCCGTGGTGGTGGAGTCGCCACGCATGCCGGCGTTGCCAGCGGCACAGATCTAGATTTGGAGATGGTCCTGCCAGTGCCACATAATTCTGGGTTGGTGCAGGTGTGGTAGCGGCAGCGGTCATGCTGCACTGTTACCTGTTACCTGGATGTGATATCACCTGTCCGAACTGCAAGGATAGTGTATTGCATGCACTCCGGAATTTACACAGATGTTGGCACCATGCCTACGGCCTGAGCTGGGCAAATTGTTCATTCCTGGCCTTCTCTGACATTTCTGTGTTAGGAATTCCCCCCCTCGCTTCATTGGCAGCATGGGCGCATGCAGTAGATGTATCCCGGCTGTGATCTGAAGTACGGCACAACTGTACGATGACATGCCGTATGTGGCGTTGATGCACTGGTGTTGTTGGATTTGGGTAGAGACTTGCGCGGGAAGAGGAGTAGCAGCGGGAGGAGGTTGCAGGGGAGGGGGAGAAAATGGTGGAGATGATAATTCCTGCTGTCGACGACGTTTGTCGATCCGCAGCTGGTGCTGCGGGCAGCAGCCTGGTGCTTGGCCTCAAGTGCTTGCTTTCGATGACAGCTCCCCGGGGCCGCATCCGTTGTTGCGTAATGGGGCAACACAGCTGGGGCCTAATTCACTGACCGACTGTACCTCACTCTAACGCGATTGAAATTTCCCTAGGATTTTATATTGTTGTCTCGAGGTGAAGGTGAAGGATTTCATTGCCTTTTTCACTGCTCGACTACATTAGCCTGCTTGGGATTCTATTGCTAGCATCATAGCTCTATACGCGGCAGTTGTGTCGTGCGCTGCCTGGGGTAGCAGTGCTCCCAATATGAGGTTTTCATGTGGTCTTGTACGGCAGGAAAGCAGGGGCAAACAGAGAAGGAAAATAAGGTTGAAGTGGTTTCCGACGAGACGGGAAAGCGGGATGGGTGAAGTTGAAGGAGAGGGGAAGGGTTTGCTTGCTTTTGCCTCTGCAGTCGAGGCTGTGGTGTGGAAAAGGAAGACTCTGAAGCCGCCTGAAAGGGCAGCTGTAGGCGCACTAGATGGTAATTCTGCTTGGCAATGGTGGTGGGGGCAGGAGGGTGTCTGTATGCATGTGTGTGTATGTGTGTGTATGTGTGTGAGGGGTCCGAGTGAAGCTGAAACAGGGGGAGCTGCGAGAGGTGTGCGCATGGTGTGTTGAGTGGTGGTTTTAATGCACAAGACATCGACGAATAACCTAAAACAACTTTTGTTAACCTAGCGCAACGTATATCCTTTTGATCAAATCCAGTCAAGGTGGTGTTGAAAGACACCGGATTCGATACACCAGCGTAGCCATCCGATGTACGACCCGTACTATTGTACGGCAAGGTAAAAAGTCGGTGGTCGGTGACCAGCATGAAGGTATCCTGTGCGGTCTCAAGGTACGGCCGCCACTCTTGTAAGGCATTGAGTACACAGAAGCTCTTGCTCTGTGGTAGTGTAATTGACATCGGCAGGTGTGAACTTTTGGCTGGTGTGGACGACGGGGTGGCCATCCTGTAGCAGTGCACCGCCTGTGCCGTAGATGCTGGCGTCAGTTACGACTTTGGAGGGTTTGGTAAAGTCAGGAAGGTGCAACAACGGGCGTTGATGAGGGCGTATTTAATGCCGTCGAAAGCCTGCTGGTGCAAGTTCTTCCTTCGGTCAGCCGTTTGCTGCCGGTGAGGGAGTCGCTAGTGACGAGTACCCTTGGGTAAACTTGCGGAAGTAGCTCGCAAGGCCCAGGAAGCCGCACAGCGCCGTCCTGTCTTTTGGGACGGGGTCGTTCTTGACGGCCTCAATTTTTCAGGGATCCACCTCAGTCTATACTGGCCTACGAAGTGGCCTAAGAAGTTGACTTCGGGCTTGTTCAGCTCGCACTTTTCGCGCATTGCACCTTAACACGCCCCTTTGCGGGATTCGAGTACGGCACGCATGTGGCTGGTCGGATCTTTGCTGAAGATGAGGATATCATCTAGGTTGATAACGCAGTAAGCGTCGATGAGCACGGTGTTTATGACCTTTTGAAAGGTCGCCGGTGCATTAGTCAACCCGAAGCACAGCACTTTGTACTGGAACGTTCCGAAGGGTGTCATGAGGCTGGTTTTTGGGATGTCCTCCTCCGTGATGCGAATTTGATGGTAGCCGCTTTGCAGGACGAGGGATGGGAAGATACTCGCGCTCTGGAGTGTGTTGAGGAGGTTGGTGATGTTCGGAAGTGGATACCGGTTTTTATGGTGATTTTGTTAAATAGAGTGCTAAAGTCAAGGCACATGAGAAGCGAGCCGTCCTTCTTTTGTGAGAAGAGGACGTAAAGTGATGCAACATGAGGCAGACAGACAGTGCGCCTGCAATGGGATGGTCATGTAAGTGCCTTAATAATGAGGAGGCATGGCAAGTCCGTGCAGCACCTAAGCTTGACCTGGTAAACAGGCTCGATAGACGGTCATTGGCAAAGAAGTGGTCAGAGACTTTGCCGTGCGGGTGTATGGGGGCTGCATTCAAACAAAAGCAAAACAACACTTACTAAATGATGAACCCAAAACGATTAGCATGGTGCTTTCCTTGAGATACCTGTCACGTGCTACACCGTCATGCATGAAGGGAAGGTAGCATTTTTGGGCGCGTGTGTGTGTGTGTGTGTGTGTGTGTGTGTGTGTGTGTGTGTGTGTGAGTGTGTGAGTGTGTGTGAGTGTGTGTGAGTGTGTGTGTGTGTGAGTGTGTGTGTGTGACGTGTGTGTGTGTGTGTGAGTGTGTGTGAGAGTGTGTGAGAGTGTGTGAGAGTGTGTGAGTGTGTGTGAGAGTGTGTGAGAGTGTGTGTGAGTGTGTGAGAGTGAGTGTGAGTGTGTGAGTGTGTGTGAGTAAGTGAGAGTGAGTGAGAG